CTAACGGTTTCAGATGTCCTTTCCTGAGTAGGACCCTTAGAGCTTTAGACAAAGGCATATAAAGTGGAGTGAAAACCCTCTTGCCTCGGGGTAGATAGTTCAAAGTTTGGGGGTTTGGATTAGACGTACCAACAAAGGGGGTGGCTGTTTTCGGAGTGGTGGTAACCATTCCAACTTCAAAAGATTCTGCAGCTGCATCACCACTGGTGGTAGCATTCAAACTGCGTGTATAACCCCTCTTGAGTGACTCCCTTTCATGGTCAATCAAACCTTGTTTCATAGCATCTTCTATCTGTACCCCAATCTCGTGGAGGTCAGCAAAAGTGGGGAGGGGTAAGACAATCATCTTTTGCAGCAGCGTTTTTTTTTTAATAAATCAATAAATAAATAAAAACACTTCTCAAAATAGACCTTAATCACCTCAAAGCTGATCACAGGGTATTTGACGCATCAACATTAAAGTGTGTTTGGTTTTTATTTTTTAAATTTATTTTTTTGGAAATTAAGTTTTTTTATTTTTTGTATTTTTTTTTTGTTTTAGTGAATAATTTTAAAATTTTAAGCAAATTATTTACCTTTTAAGATACATCTTACTTAAATATATCTAAATAGATAAAATATTCGTGAAAAAATATATTAAAAAATTAATAAATACACAAAATTATAAAAAATATACTGAATTTTTTTTTTTGTGTTTTTGGTATTTAGTGAATTTTTTAAAAAAATTTCACAAATATTATACTTTTTTTAGTGTATTTATATTAGATGGGTCTAAAAATTAAAAAAAAATTGCTTAAAATATTAAAAAAACATTGAAAACAAAAAAATACAAAAAATAAAAGAGCAAAATTTTCTAAAAACCAAAACCAAACAAACTGATTATTTGTTCAAAAAAAAAAAAAAAACTAATTATTGTCCAATCATGAATCATATTCCACCATGTGGCAAAAAATATTCTGATTAGAGAAAAAAAAATGTCTCAAGAATTTAAAATTTTCTCACAATTCAATCCATAATTTTGTGATTTAATAAATATCATTTTTTATTTGATTATACACTTAATAATATAAGACTCACGACCCTTACCACATATATATTTATAAATGTAAAATATGAGTCTTTAACATTGTTGGACATTAGAGTGAGAGATTATCTTCAGTATTATCCTTCAAATTAGTTAAATATTAATTTAAAATGTCAAAAAAATATTATAAAAAGTCAAAAAAATTTAGAAGTCAATTTTCAAACCAGTCTTAAGCTAAAATTAATAACAACAACTTCTTAAAGTTTGGAAAAATTAAATTTTTAACAAAATCAAAACGACCTTCTTTTAAATTGTAATTCTCAATAATTTGTTAATTATAGAAATAAAAAAATATGTTATTATTTGTTTATTTCTATATCTACACAATTTCTGCATCAGACCTACTTGGTCCTTGTTCTTTCAGATACAAATTTTATCCTTGAAAAATTCCAATGTTTTCTTGTGGTAAATATCTCATATATGGGTATTCCTTGAATGCAAGTATTTCAAAACAATTTTCTCATTTTTCTTCTTCTTTAAACTAGTTTGAAAATATTTCATGGCTTCCTCTACTAATATACTTTAGAAAGTCCATTTCGTACCATCATAAACAAACTCTACTTTGTTAGTAAATGTTGTACTCAATGCACAAATCTCCGGCTTATAATAGGATGAGCATATTTTTCGATTGGCTGATTGTAAAGTTTGACACAAAAATTATTCAATGATAACTCAATTAATCGTAGCCTTACAGTTATAACAAATAGACTGAAATTTAACTTATCACGTGATTATATCTCTATCTAATAATACGGATATACATAATATAAAAAATAATAACAAAAAATTATATGTCCTCTAAACTAAACCTATGATTAGGTTATAAAACATGATTTGTCAACCAACCTAAGGGCAACCACATTTCACAAAACCAAGGTCTCAAGTCCCCACAGTCAAGGTGCAAGCGTAAAATGACCTCAACACTTGGTTATCAAAATAAAATAAAATAAAATCCCCTATAGTTCAACCCAATACTAGTCTCCAGACTGTTCTATCAATTAATTGTCTGCTAGGCTCTGGATTGGGAAGAACTAAATAAGTTTTTTTTTTTTTTTTTTCTGGTAAAAAACCTTAAAACAAATTGTTTGGATAACTTCTCCGGAAAAAAACAGCAATTTTAGCAAATTTTAAAAGATAATTTTACCCTCTATCATTAGCTTTTTTTAATTCTAAAAAAAAAAAAACACTAAAAAAGCATTTGTCAAATTCCAACTAAAAGAATTGGAAAAACTCACTACCAGTTATTCCAGAGATTCAAAACAGAAATATTTAAGGGCAAGTACTAGGACTAGCACCACAAAACACAAACTCCACAGTTAAAGTCAAGAATTTTGGATTAAAAATTATTTTATAAAATATAACAAACATGAATGAAACAAGCTGTTGAACATACTCACAAAAATTCCAAACCTTCAAGGATATATTTGCGCGTTCATTCGAAACAAGCACACTTCTTATTGAAAACCAAAACATTTCCTTATTAAAATTCTTGTCTACAAACAATTCCAAATCTCAAAACTTAATATGATTAATGAATAGAGGACAATAAAAAGAAAAGAAAAGAACAAAAACCATGCATTCCATCATGTTTTCATCCCTTTGAGATAAATCAAAATGAACTTGCAGGGTACCTTCAAAATTGACAGCAAAATTGCAGAACCCATTGAACATTTCTTAATCTTGTTGGATAAAACGCAAAAGAAACTCCATACGCAAAAGAACTTGAAGTGAATCATAGACTTCTCAGCTCTGTACTTTGTTTGGCAAGCTCAGAGGAGGTGTCAGATCATCGATCCAATCAGCATAAATACGATCGATCTTCTTGGCTCCTTTCCACTTTGGAAAGCATTTCTTACCCTTAACATCTTCCTTTGCAGGAGCACAGACTACTGTCCTGCTAGGAGGTACAACATCATTTGCAGGAACCAAAACGGGTTTTGTTGGAATAGACAATGTATTCACTGCTTCGGCTTCAATGTGGCCACCGGGCGCCTGTAACTCTGTTTGACCAAAAAAAAAAAAAGAAGCAAAAATCAGAAATCACCTTTGGGAAGTATTTTAAGTTCTCAATGAAGAAGACTTTTTTCACCTTTCATTTGTTTTTTCTCATTCGTTACAAAAAGAAACTTCACATAAAGTGGCAGTTTCAATTTAATACATTAATTTTGGAGGTAAAATGGAATCAGAATATAAAAAATAAGTCAAAAGGTTAAAAAACCACTATATCGGCATAAAACAATAAATTTCTACTTCCAAAAACAACTTCTTGCTTTGACAACAAAGCAAATTTCTTCTTTGATTCCTGAAGAGTAAGTAGTAAATTCCAAAAACAGGTGCTTTTGAAGTATCAATTTAACAATACCTTAAATAGCTAGTAGGAGGTACATCAAATTTAATTGGATAAATTATCCAAATATACACAATAATAACAAAGATTGTATTTTCAAGATATTACGAGGTATATTCCAAGCAAGGCTCTGAAAAAATGGATCACCCTTATTCCATATTTGAACAACAAATCAATTTCACAAAGGAACAACAATGCGACTAATAATGAATCAAGCTATGCATTAGTGATAATATATACCTGACAGCCCATGAGCAAAATGGCATCTCTCACCGAAAGGACACTGTCCTGTGGTCTCCCACTTGATACAGAGCTTTGTCTTCCAATAAGTAGGTTTCATATAATCTCGAAAATCATCAGAACTAGCATTAACATGCTTATTAGTATTCACTTCGAATTGATCAGAAACACTCCTATTCCCCACCATAGACCCTGTAGTTCCAATGCTTATTGCAGAACACTCTCTCGGGCTCCCCATCTCAGTCTTGAACTTCTGCTCATGAAGAAAATTGCATTTGTCCCCATAAGGACACTCTTCTCCATTATAAAACCTCTTGCAAATTTTCATCTTATGCACCATTCTCTGATCATTGTTCCAATTTCCCAGCCCTTTGTCCTTGTCACGCGCACCAACAATTTCTTGCCAATTGGGTGGGGGTTCTCGCAAGTCTTCAGGCCCATGTGCAAAGGTACAATGCTCTCCATTCCGACAATTACCCTCCAAAAATTTCAAGCACATACGTGTCTTATAAAAGATATGGCCAGTTCCTCTATTGATTGGAGGGTTTGTCAGATCCATAATCCTCGGATTCATTGGTGGAAAAGGTGTGGAATTTGCTGGGTTGTTTCCAAAATTTCTTGGCTTCTTAAAAAGGGGTCCATGATCAAATTGTGAATGTGAGTCCATGTCTTCATCGTTTAATGGAATTTGAGGCCAAAAGCCAACAATATCACCTTGCGAAAAAGGCGGCACAAAGGGAGGCTGTGGTTGAGGATCAGGAAAACTCATGATTTTGGCTGAAAAGTTGATCAAGATTAAATTTTGGGCAGATAACAATTGTATCAATTGAATACAATACAACCCAATTCACTAATAAGATATAAACTGAAATGGCAATAAAGAATCAACAAACATGATGCACAATTGATTAAAACCCGAATGACAGTATGATCAAGATTACCCAGAAAGTATTTGAACTAAAGTTAATTTAAACATGCGAGAATGAGCGGAGATAAAGATTGAAAAATCAGCAAACCTGAATATATCTGATTGATCAAGAACACCCAGATAGAATTTAAGTTCAAATCTGAATATGATGTTGATTACAGGACTTCCAGAGAACAATCAAGAACACCCAGATTGTAACTTGGGCTAAAACAAAATCTCATCAAAGCAGATCAAAAACCAAAATTGAATTTGTATGTGAATTTGAAAAAAATGATCAAAGTTCAGAACTTTTTATGCAAAACCCTAACAAAAGTTAGAATGAAAAAAATTGTATATATGTGGGTTAGGAGAAACAGAAAGGGAATAGAAACCCTAGCCGCCGTACACAAAGCCCTAGTTGAACAAGGATCAGTAACTTCAAGACCAAAGTGAAGTTACAAAACTCATGAAAACGGCTAAAACCCTAATATATGTAGTGTTTAAGATGTTATTACGGCAGAATATAGGGATTAAGGCCTCCTTCGTTTGGAAAGCCATCCGTTTAGTCAAAAAAAATTTAAAAATTATTAAAAAAATTAAAAAGTCAGCAATTTATATAAAAAAAGAAAGGTTTTTTTTTTTTTTTTTACATTTTTTCATAAAAAGTTAAAAAATCATTCTAAATATATTAATTTTTTTTAGCTTATATTTTAGTTAAATAGCCAAAAAATTACTAAATTAGTCAGTTCTCAAACGAGGCCTTAGTTAGTCTCGAGTTGGTCATATCAACTTGAGAAAATTTTAGAATTAATTTTGATAATTTGAATTATTTATTTTTAAAATTTATTGAATAAAATATTTATGTAAAATATTAAAATGATTAGATATCAATAATTATATGTTTAAATTATATTTATAAGACAAAAAAATGAATAATTATTTTTAAAATTATATTTGTTATCTATTTTTTAAAAATAAATATGATTCAAACATATAATTATTGATATCTAATCATTTTGATTTTTTGAATGAATATTTTATTTAATAAGTCCTAAAAAGCAAATTGTTCAGATCATCGAAATTGGTTTCAAAATAGGCCTATCAAGCCCAAATGATCTCTCAAGTTGTGACGACAACTTGAGAGAA